TTGAATAGATTAATTGTTTGGTTTGATTTAGTTGATAGTTAATCACAAGTCCCTGTTGGTACGATATCTGGACTTACAATCCTATATTACTTGTCGATCACGTGTACTTGTGTGTGCGTTTGGGAGCAACAAGTTTTTGGCGCCGTTGCCGGGGACTTAGAAATTAACTAGCCTACTAGATTAGATTTTTACTTTTTGCCTATTCAAGTTTTTATTTTTTTTATTTTTATCTTAGTTTAATATTTTACTATCTTTGTTGATATGATATCTTGGAATGATAATTGGTCGAATATTGGTTATTCTTATTTTGGTGATCCATGTCCATAATGTGGAGGACCACACTTTGGGCAAAATTGTGCATCTCAATCTGATGTGTGGAATTTTTGTAATGTGTGTGGTTGTCAAGGTGGCCATTGGGATGGTTGTCCTAATTTTTATTATCCTTCTCAGAGTTCTTATTATAATGTTTCTAATAATGTTTATGAGTTTGATAGGAGCAATGAAGTGGAGGATATAAAAAGCGTGGCTCGTATTATGGACATGATGAGGCAAGTAGCCGAGCAACAAAATGAAAATCGAAAGGCTATACAAAGAATTAGCGAAGCAATCATGAGAATGATGGCCGAGGAGGAGGAAATGGCTGAAGAGAGAGAGTTCCCACAAAAAGATTATTTAGAAGAAGAAGATATAGTGAGCCAATCTTGGCTAGAGGAACAAGCTCAACTAATAAAATCTCATGAGTATCTTCGTGATGGTCTTTCAAATATGACAGAACAACTGATAGAAGGAAGAACTGATCTTAGACAAGAAATCGACCAATTTGGCAGTGCTATTCGTGACTTAGAGGCAGAATTGAGTGCAAAGGTTGATGCATGTAACGTCCAACAATTTAGTGATGAGTTGTGTGAAGTTGAAAAAGATCTTCTAGGCCAAATTGAGGAGCTAGGACGAGAATACCAATTATCAGACCATGTTCTTGTGGATGATGCTAAGGTTGAGGCGTCTGATGCCCTACAACCAATTTTTGTGGATACTGGCCAGCTTGTGAAGCAGAAAGAGGAATTGCAACTATTCGACCAAAATATTATTAACGATGCCAAGGTTGACGAAGAGTACAAAATTGAGGATGTCAAAAATAATGCAATTTTGGAGTTAGGGAGTATTGGACCTCATTCTAAACACTTTTCAACATTGTGTTTGGTTGGTGACACGGGAATTGATCCAGTCGAGCATATGGAGGAGTCGATGGATGAGGAACAAAGTGTTTATATTCTGAAATTTGCCATACAAAGGAGGCAAAACGACATTCCTCACTTAAAGGCCAAGAAGTGCAAGATGCGATACCTACTACTTGGGTTCTTTATTTTTACACCACCGCCTCAAGAACGTGATAGAAAAATTGATGCAAAATTGGGGGCGCAGTTCATATCCTCAAAGTGGAAGGAAAAGTGGTGAAAGTGATGGAGTCGTGCCACGACTATAAATAAGGCGCTTGTTGGGAGGCAACCCAGCCTGTATTTTCATTTTTTTAATTTATTAATTTTTTTATATAGTGTCAAGTTTCGTGTTGTTTTTGTTTTGCAGAGTAGGGGAAGTCTGAGTACCCGAAGTTGAAGCTGAGGAGCATGTTTGAGCTTAAGTGTGGGGTCGTCCCGACCCTTAATATTGAGGATCATGTCTTAGCTAGGCCCGAGAGGGTCTCAGGGAGTATTTCTCACCCTTGTTTTAATCTTTTTTTCTATGATCATGCATCGAGGACTATGCATAATATAAGTGTGGGGTGGGAAAACTACTTTCTGAAGTGTAATTGTATAAAACTAATTTTTTTTTAATTTAGTTTTTCTTTTAGAACTCGTAGTAGACATAGTCTAGGTTTAAAAATAAATAAAAAATAAAAAAAATGAAAATTGAAAAAAAAATTTAAAAAAATTTCAGACTTTTCCCGACGATGGATCTTTTGGACACTTTTCTGAGGGATAATGTCCGATTAAAAATACCAAAAAGATTTTTTTAGAATAGTTAGGTAGTATTCCTTGGTTTTTCTTTGGGCACCGGTTCTTTTCCAAGGATGTAGCTCGAACCGGGTACTTTATTTTTTTTAGGAGTAGTTTAGGAAGGAACTGAGTTGCTCCGAGATACTCATTGACATGGTTGATGCTGGCACATTAGGCTATGACATACATTCTGTTTTCCCGTATATTTGGTTTGAATTGTGAAGCCTAAGTAAAGTAAATAGCCTATTTTGTGACGCTTTCTCTCAGTTGTTTGACTTGTATGCCACATAGTGCAATATTGCTTAAATTCCTCAATTATGTGTTCTTGCTCGACTTGAGAGTTGAACAGAACCGTCTTGATTGAGTCATGTGCAACGTGTGTGTGAGGATTTGTGATTTTCTGTGCTATCCTGTGTAGTCTAGAACTTGCCCCGTGTGTTAATTGAAGCGGAATTGTAAGTTGTGCTAATCTAGGAGATGACGTAGGCATTTTCTTGCTTGATCAGAGATGTACTTTTCACATAAAAATAAAATTTTTTCGTAGCTAGCCCCTTTGAGCCTATAGACCTTTTCTTTGGCACCCACATTACAAGTCATACCCCTATTTTGTTCTTAATTTGGTATTGATTGAACCTTTACCTCCTAAGGCACTTAGTCGCTAAAAGAAGTAAGGTTAGAGATTGGGGAGTAGCTTTTGAGTGGAACCATAGAAGGGCCCGTTGGTGCATTAAAGTTGAAATCAAAAGACACTAGCCAATGAACCTTAATGTAAGGAATGTGTGAAAAAAAAAGAGAGAGAGAAAGGAAAAGAAAAATTGAAAGAAAAAAAAATGATAGTGAAAGTATGTAGAAAACACTTCCAATTCTTAATAATTTGTGCTAGTGGGAGTATAGAAGTGCTTGAATGAACGTAAGGGCTATGTGCATATGGTTTGTGGCAAGTGAATTGGTTGAGAAAAATTTGTGCTTGAATTGTAAATGTAGTGTATTAAAGTGCTTAGGAGGGTTAGCCACTGTTTCTAAATGTATCATACCCGTCCCTTAGCTACATTACAACCTTAAAAGTCCAAATTGATTCTAGACTTGGCTAGCTTAAATTAGTAGATATATACACTACGGGCAAGCTTATGGTACAACCACGGGATGCATATGAATTCTTTGTAAGAGTGAGCGAATTTTGTTCAATTGTGTGATGTCCTTAATTTATATTCAAAAGCACATTTGAATGTGTGGACTAGTACATTTTCACTCTTTTGTTTATGGTGAGGGCACATGATCTCATGAACGATTGGTAATGTTGTAATCTTTCTTGTTGGGTAAGTGCATGAGTTGAGGGTGCTTAGTGGTTACAAGTCGGTTTTTGAGGTTGGGTGGTGACAAATAGATTGTTGGAATTGATTTATTTGAAATGTTATACTTAGGCATGCTTAAACGGGAAGAATATAATTTTTTTGTGTCTTCATGCTTGTGTGCCGGTATTGATCATAGTCAAGGGTATAGTGTGTGGTTAAAAGTTAAAGTGCTCCTCCATAATTGAGACTTGTACGTAGTTGAGGGTTTATTTGATAGTCCCATTGCTCGAGGACGAGCAAGAGTCTAAGTGTGGGGTGTTGATGTTGTGCTTAAAGTATATATAATCGCATGTATATCGCCTCATATCTTACTTTTGTTTAGTGGATTTAGGATGTGAGATGTTTTGATTTATGTTAATTTGATGTGTTTTTATGTGTAGGAATGATCCGGGAGCAATTGGGGGCGAAACGTGAAAAATTAGAGCCAAAACGAACGAAATCGGAGAACTTACGAATTTGGGCACCACAGGTGGCGCCCAGCCCTACCCGTGGCGCCAAAAACAGTATACTCAAAATTGGAGCGCCGTGGAGAGTGCCTGGCGCTAGCCAGGGCGCCAGTGACGGGAATTTTGTCCAACTTTGCCCGGAAAAAGGTTATTTCGGCCCTAGACCTACCCAACACGTATAAAAGCAAGACTAAACATATTTTTTGAGGGGAGGACGCCACTTTAGAGAGATCTAACATACTTTGAAGGGGAATTCACGTGGAGCAACACACACCACGATTGGAGGAGGCTTCTAACTAGTTTTCTTCTCTTCTCTTCCTTTAATTTCATAGTTTATTAGTTCTAGAGTTTTGGGTGCTACATGAACGTTGTAGTTTGAAGCTTGAATTGTTCTTATTATTTTATCATATTGGTTTATTTATTCAATCTTGCGCCGAATTATTTGATTGCTTGATCACCAATTGAATACTATCTACGAATCTAGGATTGAACTCGGGAGAGGGAATTCTAGATTGCATATAAGACTGAGTAGAGCAAGATCTTAACTCTTAGGGGGAGCGGATTTGCGGTTAGGATAGGAATATACCTAATCGCCTTGCTTGGTTATTATACGGGAATTATAAATGCGTTCTTGTTAATCCTAATTCCATATGAATATAGGCGTTAAGTTAGCTTGAATAGGCGAGTTGTACTTCGGGAGAAGGCTACAAGCAATATTAACCCCGTCAATCAGTAAACTAGATAAATTAATTAGACAATTTAAGTGGAAAACTCAACGGGATTGTTAGCTAACCCATAGCTCTAGAATATTCACTCATATTGAATTCGTCTCTATAATTCACCAACTTGTTTTCTTTAATCTCTTAGTTTACTACTCTAGATTATCTTTAGTTAAATATTCGTAAAATAGGATTCGCTTGAATAGATTAATTGTTTGGTTTGATTTAGTTGATAGTTAATCACAAGTCCCTGTGGGTACGATATCTGGACTTACAATCCTATATTACTTGTCGACCACGTATACTTGCGTGTGCGTTTGGGAGCAACAATAATACATCTCCGAATATTTACAAAATTCAATATAGTTCAAATACAATGTAACTCTAATTTAAAGCTTTACTTGATGCTTAGTTCTGCATACACACTAATAATGTAAAATCAAATGATATATAACCAGTATAAATGACTTCACAAACAAGAAACGAAACTATAACAAAAAAGAGCAAGTTGAAATAAACCATAGCTAAACTAATTAATTCATTTCACTTTCCAAAAGTTCCCAAGTCATTCTATAAATGATCACTATTGTGACCGTGCTAGTAAAACCTACGGAGAAAGGAAACAACAACTTTCAAAAAATAAAAAAAATATTTTGGATTGCTTGATGGAGGAACATCTCAAATTTCAGAAAGAAGCTGAAAATACTCGGTGTAAACCTCCTTTAGCATGTTACAGCTGCTCGTTGGCTCTAAGCATTCAGTTGAATAATCACATCCATTTAGCAATTCATCAAACAACTGAATTTTCTCATAAATTTCATTCTCTTTTTCTTCAACCTGAACGGACGATGACAACGAACTTGGAATAAATGGCTCTTGTATTTTTTCTTCTTCCTTATTATTGTCAACTTCCTCAGAACTCAACATGGTAATAATATTACTTTGGATCTTCTTAACTGCTTCATCTTTTTCCATCTCTCCCTCGGGCTTTTTTGCCTTTCTTGCCCGTCTTCGTTTATCTTTAGTACGTTTTGCAGTTAACTTTTGAGGTTTTGGTTGTATTCCTGCTGCTTTGAGTTTCTTCAAGAGATTGGTATTCCAATGATTCTTTATCTCGTTATCAGTTCTACCTTGCAATCTTCCAGCAATTAGAGACCATCGACCACCAAGGAGTGAATGAAGTCGGATTATAAGATCATCCTCATCTGGACTGAAATTTCCTCTCTTAGTGCCTGTTTGATACATACTATATAATATTAGTATTAAGTAATGAAATGTTTGAAATTATTTCCTCTCTCACAGTTGAAGTTTTTTTTATTCAAATGGGCACACACTTTAATATGACATTAGAGTAAACAAGAAATCCTGCATTCAAATATAATCCCATTGCCACTCAAAAAGATTAAAAAAAACAGTAGATGCATTTTACATGTTTGGCTCATGAAAAAAAAAAATCAGATACACATGCATGTAAATTGTAATGGGTGTGTTGAGACAAAATATTAAGTGTAATTAAAAGTGTGTTCTATCGAACAATTTAAACTATTAGATAATATGATCACACTGCAACCATACCTGGTCGAAGATAGTTCACCCATCTTAATCTGCAACTCTTACCACATCTAAGCAGGCCTGGATATCGAAAAACTTATTATACATGAGCACAAGGATGATAAAATTGATACATTAAAAACATTCAAGCCAACGATTATCAAGTGATGAAAATTTTTTGAAATAAGAAAGTTGTGTTTTTGTGGAAGATATAGAAAATGATGTATTACCAGCATTCATAGGCAAAGATCTCCAGTTTCCTTCACCATTTAGCTGAATGTAATTAGTGAGCAGCATGTCTTCTTCTGCAGTCCATGCACCTTTTCTCATTCCCACTTTAGAACAACATGGTGCTCTTCCCATTCTCTTCCCTTGAGAATTATGATCAGATGGGACACTAAAGGGACCAATCTTTGGAGAGTCTTTAAAAAATTATTTGATCTAGCTACCTAAAACCCACTAATTTGATCTGCAGTTTTATACTTAATATATATAGTCATAGGAGGCTCGGGTGAAGATACCTGATAAGTCTTACTTTTTGTGTCACGTGAATCAATTGTTTCGAGAAAGGATTATTAAAATAAGCAACTTGTCTTTCCATAAAAAAGCCACATGTTTTATTGAATAAGCAACTTGTCCTTCCATCTTGTAATTAAAATATGACACAGAAGCCAAAGCTATTGATAAAAATTATAACTACGATGAAAGGAAAGAAAAAATAAATTGACACATAAACGTACGAAAAACTGCAAACATATCGAAACTACTTTTAGAATTGTGTACGGGTAAAATCGGAAATAAAGATATCTCCGATTTTTAGATGAACAAAGGGAAGACGTGGTTTATTTGCAAGCTCGTGTAGAGCCGAGAGTTCCCCAGATCAGAGCCCGGGGACGAATTACACACCGGGATTCGGACATGGCCGAGCATGAAAGGAATCGAGCTCCAGCAAAACAAAGAATCGAGGTTAAAGGAAAGATGGTTTGAAAGGACAAATGGAGGGCCGAGATATCCGCCCTCAGCCGGATATTATGGCACAAATCTCGCGCGATATGAGCTGCGTATCATGATTTATTAGAAGGGAATGATTTTTACCTTATTTAGACTTGTGCTAGGCCACACTGTGTGGGATAATACTGGGTATGTTGTTGTAGTTGTTGTTGTTAGACTTGTATTAGGATTGAAACTCTCCTACTATATAAAGGAAAGAACATGTTCATTTTTCACATACTGTTTGCACGCATATCAATGCAATAAAATTTATTTTTGTTCTCTAGCTACTGTTCAAAGTGTTCTTCAGTTGCATGTTTATTCAGTTGCAACCGAGCCCGTCTCGAGGGCTTGACCGGAGCCAATTTTCAGTGTTCATCCTAAAGTAGGCTTTATTGTCTATCACGTTTGGTTTGATCGTTTTGTTTTCCTTTAATTTAATTATTTTTCATTTACAGATTATTCGTGTTAAATTAAATTGCGCATCCTTTAAACCACGTGCAAATTAAATTATTACTCATTTTAATGGTAAACAGTTTGGCGTCCACCGTGGGGCTAAGGATAATAGTGGTGATTTAATACGAATCTCTATAACACACCTTATTTTACGCTTGCTCTTTGAAGTTTGATTTCAGGTCTATTCAAAATGTCAAATTCAATTTGCTCATTTTAACGTTGACGCCGAGTCAGGCCACCACGGTGAAAATAACAACTTAGTACCAAGCAATAGCGTGCCCCCTATTGACCCTAATGGCGTTCCAATCACTGACCCAATCAACGTCAATTCACAGGTTGCCATCAACGTCAACCAACCAACCGATCCTGAAAATAACACTCGCGGGGCACCCCGACCATCGGCTTGAGAAGCACCCGAAGGGGGAGATGATGGAGTTAGCTTGCAAAATATTACAAACTCAACAAGTGGCAATAGCACAGCTGCAGAGTCAAAATCACGCATAAAACACGGCCGAACCCAAGCTGGTTGGGGAAGATGCTCGGAGAAACGAACGGATTGTCACAGAACAAGATGGTTTCAGACCCGGAGATACCTTCGAGGTAATGAAAATGCTTGAGGCACTAAAAAAATGGGCGGAGTAAGGTGAAATGAAGATTGGGAAAAATGACAAAAAAGTAGAAACTTACAACTTGAGGGTCGATCTGATCCCGGGAGCTCCTCCAATATTGAAAGGACCGGATTCCAAAAAGTTCATTCAGAAACCCTTTCCCCCGAGTGCAGCACCGAAGCCAATTTTGAAGAGCTTTCGAATTCCCGATATTCCCAAGTATAACGGGACCACATATCCAAATGAGCATGTAATCTCCTACACATACACAATAAAAGGCAATGACCTCAATGATGATGAGATCGAGTCAGTGTTGCTGAAATTTTTTGGACAAACCTTATCCAAGGGAGCGATGATATGGTACAATGACTTAACTCCAAATTCTATTGATTTGATTGTTATGCTTGGAGATGCATTCGTTAAAGCCTTGCCGGCGCTATCAAGGTCGAGACAAGAAAATCGAACCTCTTCAAAGTCAAGCAAAGGGACAACGAGATGCTTAGGGAGTTCATGTCGAGGTTCCAGATGGAACAGATGGACTTTCCCCCGATTGCAGATGATTGGGCCGTTCAGGCATTTACTCTAGGGGTCAACCCTCGAAGTTTCGTTGCTTCTCAACAATTGAATTAAAACTTGGTAGATTACCAGGCAGTACTTGGGCCGATGTTCATAACATGTACTAGTTAAAGACAAAGTCGATGATGAATAACTGGGGGCCCCTCGAGGTCTATTTACCCCAATAGAGCGAACGCCATGTCTAAATAAATAATGGATCAGGAGCCAAGGCCGACCCGAGAATCAGTATCAGCCATACAGCTCGGATAGAAGGGGAAACAGAACCGGTCGCCACCCGACCAGGAACGATAGAAGAAGCGACCAAGGTCCTAGCAACTGAGGTTTGATGAGTAAGAATGGTTTCGAAAAATCACTTGGGGGCAGAGAAGCCCTGAGACTATCAAAATATAACGTCAACGTTGATGCAGAGAGTATAGTGTCGGCCATCGGTCGTATCAAGGAGACCAAATGGCCAAGGCCACTCCAGTTCGTTCTCGCACAAAAGGATCAAACTTGATATGTAAATACCACAGTACTCATGGTCATAGGACCGATGATTGTCTACAGCTAAGGGAAGAAGTGGCTCGTCTATTCAACAATGGGCATCTTCGAGAATTCCTAAGTGAGCGAGCGAAAAATCATTTACAGAAATAGAGATGCCAACAAAGAAATTGAGCACGAAGAACCTCAAAACGTGATCAACATGATCATTGGGGGAGTATATGTAATACAAGGGCCAATGATAAAGCACACCAAAGTTTCTATCACAAGGGAAAAATGCACTCAGGACTACGTTCCAGAGGGGTCCATCTCGTTCAGCGACGAGGACGCCGAGGGCATCATTCAACATCACAATGATGTGTTGGTAATATCCGTACTCGTTAATAATCTCGAGTTAAGCATGTGTTAATTGATCTAGTTAGCTTGGCCAACATCATCCGATGGAGAGTCGTGGAACAACTGGGGTTATTGGACCAAATCGTACTGGCAGTACGAGTATTGAACGGGTTCAACATGGCATGCGAGACAATGAAGGGTGAAATAACCCTACCGGTAAACACTATTAGGATCACCAAGGAAGCAAATTTTTATCTAATCGAGGGGGATATAAGATACAATGCCTTGTTCGGGAGGCTATGGGTCCACAACATGAGAGTAGTGTCTTCGACCCTGCATCAGGCGTTAACGTTAACCCCAGGCAGAATCAGAATGGTCTACAGGGAATAACCAGCTGCAAAGGAGATGTTTGCTATCGGTGAGGTGGCCTCGGTGCTCGCAATCACAACATCAAGAGGTGAGGGACCGGTTAAAGAGAAAGGCACCAAATAGCAATCACCGGTCCCGACCCTGATCGGGCCAGAGAAATAGGGGGAGCACTCAACGAATGAGAAAGATGATTCGGGGTCCTGAGATCCTTCGTAGCACCCGATGATACCGATGCCACCAAATCGACGATCGAGGAATTGGAGCAGGTCATACTGATCGAACATCTAACGGACAAAAAGGTATACCTAGGCACGGGGATAACCCCCGAGCTTAGGAAAAAAACTTTTTTATTTCCTTAAAGATAATGCCGATTGTTTTGCCTAGTCCCACTTAGATATGACAAGGATCCCTCCAGATGTGATAACTCACAAATTAAGCTTGGATCCAAAATTCCACCCGATCAAACAGAAGAGGAGGCTACAGTCCGAAATTAAACATACATTCATCAAAGGTGAGGTATCTAAGCTCTTGAAAATAGGTTCCATTCGGGAAGTAAAATACCCGGATTGGCTAGCTAACGTAGTGGTCGTACCTAAAAAAGGAAGCAAACTTAGAATGTGTGTAAATTATAAGGATTTGAACAAGGCATGCCCAAAGGATTTGTTTCCTTTGTCTAACATTGACCGAATGATCGATGCAACGGCCGAGCACGAGATGCTCAGTTTTCTCGATGCCTACTCCGGCTAATACCAAATACGGATGGACTCGGGTGACCAAGACAAGACTTCTTTTATAACTAAATTCGGCACCTATTGTTATAACTTAACGCCGTTTGGATTAAAAAAATGCCGGTGCCACGTATCAACGCCTAGTTAAGCGAATGTTCGAGGAAGAAATAGGAAAATAAAAGGAGGTTTATATTGACGATATGTTACTTAAGTCCCTACGATCAGAGGACCGTTTGAAGCATTTGCATAAACCTTCGACATACTGAGAAAATACAACATGAAGCTAAACCCGGAGAAATGTGCCTTCGGAGTCGGCTAGGCCAAGTTCCTCGGTTTTATGGTGTCTAACCAGGGAATAGAGATCAATCCGGACAAGATAAAATCCATAGAAGATATCACCGTAGTTGACAACATCAAGGTGGTACAAAGACGTATCGGGCAGAGAGCGGTATTGGGCCGGTTTATTTCAAGGTCATTGGACAAAAGCCACCAATTTTTCTCATTACTAAAGAAGAAGAACGACTGCTCTTGGACCCCAGAATTTCAACAAGATGTAGAAGAACTCAAACGATACCTATCAAACCCTCCTTTGCTGCACACCTCGAAGGCTAACGAGCAGTTATACCTCTACTTGGCAGTCTCCGAGGTAGTGGCAAGTGGTGTCCTGGTTCGGGAAGAAGAAGGCACGCAGTTTCCTATCTATTATGTTAGTAGAAACCTAGGCGATGCTGAAACAAGGTATCCGCACTTAGAGAAATTAGTGCTCGCCTTATTAAGCGCATCTAGGAAACTAAAATTTTACTTTCAATGTCACCCCATATGTGTCATGACCTTGTTTCCTCTAAGGAATGTTATGCATAAACCCAAGCTCTCAGGTCGACTGGCTAAATAGGCCGTAGATGTTAGCAGGTACGATATTGAGTACAAACCCCGAAATGCCATAAAGTCTCAGATTTTGGCAGACTTCGTGGCCGACTTTAAGCCGGTCTTGATCCCCGAGGTCGAGAAAGAATTATTGCTAGGCTTGGGGACTAGATCGGGGGTTTGGACCCTATTCATAGACAATGCTTCTAATGCAAAAGGGTCCGGGTTGGGAATCATATTAAAACCACCTATGGGTAACGTAATAAGGAAATATATTAGAACTGTGAAATTGACTAACTACAAAGTCGAATATGAGGCTATCATTGTAGGTCTGAACTGGCTAAGAGCCTGGGGGCTGAGGTGATCAAAGCCAAGTGCGACTCCTCCTTGTTATTAACCAAGTCAACGGGACATTTGAAGTAAAAGAAGACCGGATGCGGAGATACTTGGATAAGTTGCAAGTGACATTGCATCACATCAAGGAGGACACTACAGCATGTACCCCGAGATAAAAATAACGAGGCCGATGCGTTGGCTAATCTAGGGTCGTCAGTCGACTCCGATGAATTCAATTCCGGAGCAGTGATGTGATTAATGAATTCGGTAATAGAAGAAGGTCACATAGAAGTAAACTCAACAAGCTTGACTTGGGATTGGAGAAACAAATACATAGACTATCTTCACAAAGGGAAATTGCCGCCAGATCCAAAAGAATGAAGGGCCCTACTGCTGCCGGGTTTAGCTTAGTTAGAGGAAAACTATATCGAAGGCCGTTCTTTAGACTTTTAGCAAGGTGCTTGGGTCCTAGGGAGAACTATTAAGTAATGAGGGAAGTCCACGAGGGTACTTGTGGAAACCATTTGGGAGCAAAATCCTTGATTCAAAAATTGATTAGAGTTGGTTATTACTGGAACGAGATGGAAAACGATGCAAAAGAATTTGTTTAAAAGTGTAAAGAATGTCAGAGGCACGCCCCGATGATCTAAAAGCTGGGGGAGATGCTTCACCTGGTCCTTTCCCCTTGGCCGTTCATGAAATGGGGAATGGACGTCGTCGGTCCCTTACCATAGGCATCCGGCAAAGCCCAGTACATCTTACTTATGATCGTTTACTTCTCCAAGTGGGTCGAAGCACAGAAATTCGAGAAAGTTAGGGAAAAGGAGGTCATCGACTTTATCGAGGATCATATAATATGCCGGTTCGCATTACCGGCCGAGATCACGTGTGACAACGAGAGACAGTTCATCGACGGCAAGACTAATAAGTTTTTTTATGATCACAAAATCAAGAAGATTTTATCAACACATTATCACCCCAGTGGGAATGCTCAAGCGGAGTCAAAAAACAAAACTATATTGCAGAACCTGAAGAAGAGATTGACCGACTCAAAACAAAAATGGAAAGAAGTTTTGCCTGAGGTCCTATGGGCATATCGAACAACTTCGAAGTCGAGTACCGGTGAAACACCATTCTCTCTAGTCAACAGCGTAGAAGCTCTGATTCCGTTAGAGGTAGGAGAAGTGAGCCTAAGGTTCCAATATGCTACGGAGACGTCAAAGGACGAGGCCATGGCCACGAGCTTAAATTTAGCAAACGAAAGGCGATAAGATACCCCAGTCTTGTTAGCGGCCCAAAAGCAACGAATGGGGAGATACTACAACCGAAGTCGACACTTCCAAGTCGGGGACTTGGTACTGAGGAAAGTTACATTGATACCAAGAACCCGAATGACGGGAAACTAGGTCTGAATTGGGCAGGACCGTACAGAGTCACCGGTATAACCGGAAAAGGCTCATACCAGCTCGAGTCCAAAAATGGAGTACAACTACCCAAAAATTGGAATGTGGAACAATTAAAGAGGTACTACTCCTAAGGTACGAACACAATCTTCTTTATGGTTTATTACGCTTTAAACTAACCCGTGCAGGTACTCAGTCAAAGTCAAATCTAAGGATTAGGTCTGAAAGCACGTATTGCTCTATTTTTTCCTTGGACCGTTTTTTTTCAAAGTGAGTGTTACACCAAGGTTTTTAACGAGAAAACAATAATGCGTGCTACCCTATTTTTGAAGACTGGTCTTAGATTGGGGAATACAGATCGACCGTATTAGATCAATAGTATTCGAGCCCTCAAAATTCAATCTCGAATACTAGGGGGCCATCACACCCTAAGTCAAGAACCGAAGTCCTGAGTTTGAAAATTTAGAAGGCATTCTTATTCGATATTGAAATCCAAGGCTTGAATATTAGGATTAATTTTAAGGGTTAACGGTCAAACGAACCGTGCCCACATAGGTCATTCTCGCCATGGTAGATAGCTTTTGTACCATCGATTATATACACGACATTCAAAGTAATAAAAAAAATTTGCCTTCTATGTTTCATCGATTCACATTTCCACAAACAATATTAATTTTAAATTACATAGAATGAATATTAGATTCAAAACCCTTAAGCCTATGGGCCTCCCCGAACCGGGGTGTTCTGCCCGATAATAAGATCGGGAAATTTGGCTCACTTAATCTTGGAGGCGTCGAGCCTCCTAGGCAGGGCCCAAACACGAAAGGCTACAGCCAATCTAAATGGATAAGAGACGTCTGAGTCCGTAAATAAGAAGTAAGGTCTGTACACATTTTTTAATCTATGAAAGATTACTTTAGAACCGTTCAAGTCACTCGGTCTTGAATTACAGCCATAAAAAGAGCCACCTTCGACAAAGAATAATTGTGTCTGATTAAAACGTTCAAATATTCTAACAAAGACTTTGTTTTTTTATCGGGCCCTTCGAAGTCAAAGCAACTCGGAATTGTCACTTAACCCAGACCTCATCTGGGCTTTGGGGGAACGAACAGTCTAAGCGATGTCAAATTCTATACTATGGCATCGATGGCATATTTTGAAGATCAAAGCATAGGTTATAAGTCTCGAACATTAGCGAATACTAAAATGTAAAGGACACAATGTGTGTGTGTGTGTATATATGTATATACACACACACACACACACACACACACACACCAAAAGATATTTACAAAGGCGCCATCAAATACTCGGCTTTCATTATTACACGGGCCTCGGCTACCTCTACATCGTTCTTGTACTGGGCGAACATGTCCTGAACTTCAGAGGCCTCGTTCGAAGCAGCCTCCAATATGGACTTCAGCGGTGTATTCTTGGTCGAGAGCATCTTATTCTGTAACGGTCGAGTCAAGTTGTGCCCGGAGTTCATCATTTAGTCGAGACCATTTGTCGGCTTTTTCCTTCATCATACGGAGCTGTACTTTGGCTGATGCCAAATCCTCTTTGGTGGCATCCCACTCCGAGGCCAAGAAATCCATTTTTCTCCTCAATTCCTTAGTTGAGGCTTTGACCTCGTCCATCTCGGCCCTAAGCTAGTCCATCAGGTTTATCTTCTCTTGGACTTGTGAGGTTGTGGCGTTAGCATTAGCAGTTAACCTCTCGTAATTGATCTCAAACACTTTTACCATTTCAACCAGAAGGGCGTGTTTCTGTTTCACCTTCGAGGCCTCCTTTTGAGCCTTTTCCAGCTCTGCTTGAAGGACGGAATGGTCCCTGAGGACTTCATCTTTTTGCTCACAAAGAGCTTTGTGCATGTCCTTTTTTCGGACCTGCTCCTTGAGCTCGAACTCGAGGTGTCTCACCTCCATTCGACACCAGTAGAAGCTATCGTGATGAAGCACCGAGGCCTGAGGCATAAAAGAAGAAAATTCGTTAAAACACGCTAAGGCAAAATGAACTTTTTAAAATATATGAGGGGCAGAAAGTATACCCTATTCAACGCCTGTTGTGCCTCGTTGAAGAGGCTCGGGGCGTCCACCTCGTTCATCTTCACTTGGTCCTCTTCGGTTACCAAGGAACGAAGGTAGCTGGCCACACAGAACGGCCCGGATAACATCCAAGTATCCGCCGACACTATGAACATGACCTTTTTCTTTCGGTCAGGGTCCACACTCGGGTAGGGTACCACTTCTCGAGGTTTGGGCTCAAACTCAGCCCACCTGGCCACGGCAGTGCATCCTTTTTCGGGATCTCTAGGTGGCCAAAATCGGAATAATCTTCCAGCATGTCGACATCAATGTCCTCGAAAAATAAATTGAGGGCCTCGTCCTCGGCCCGTGACGCCTCGATCGAGTTTTTTGTAACGGCCCAAGCCTCACCTAAAAGAAGCTCCATGTGAGACGGTGACTCCGAGACATAAATGATGTCGATGGCCTCTTTCGAAACCGGAGTAGCTTCTTAAGAAACATTGGCCATATTTTCCTCGTCGGGTCCCGAGTTGAGGAGGATTCAGCCTTACGGTCGCCCCCCCTTCAGGGCTGCTAGCTCTTGTACGGCAATAATCGGCTCGTGACAGACGAACTCCATGTCATCATCCTCGGGGTAATCCCTGAGACGATAGAGAGATTCAGGTTCTAAGACCCTGGCATGAGTACTTTTCTTGTTACTCTTCCTGATCCTGACTACAATCCTCTTCTTCTTGGCCTCGCCGGGAGCATCCGAGGAGTCAGGGGACCTTTTCTTCTTTCTTGTTTTCTCCTCCTTCCTTGCAGTAGCCTCGACAGTAGGTTGTAACGAAGTGGAGGGTTTTTCAGAGGAGATGAGGCCGCAACCTCGGTGATTGCCCGATGTTCGGTGGTGTTAGGAAAACTTGTGAAAGGAAAGGATTTAGTCAGAATGGCGATAAAATGAAAATGACTTAGAGAGAAATTCAACTGGGAAAAGAAGGACACTCACCATGGGAACAAGCCTCCCATTTTTCTTTGAAAAGATTACGCCACTCGCGCTCGGCATATGTCAGTTGTTTGCATATGCCCTCGACGCACTCCCTAAAGCGAGCGACTACATTGAGGACTCGGGCGACAACTGCATATAAAAAAAATGAGTATTGGGAAAAGAGGGATAGATTCAAAGGAGTAGTAAATTAAAAGGAAACGGGCTTATGTTTTGAGTTCCACTTCTCAAGGAACGGTAGGAATTCAGAGGGAATAAGGTCTTTGGTCTTTATCCGAACAAACCTTCTGTCATGACCCAAAATCCAAACCCATCATGATGGCGCCTAACACACCGGCCAGGCAAGCCAAAACCTGATAATAAAGGAAAACATAACAACGGAACCTATAAAAATATCCTAATTGAAAACTCGATACAACAAATACTGCTAATATAAAAGTAAATCCCCATAAACTGGAAAATACGGAGTCATGAGCTCTATAACTGGATATAAGTCTAAAACTGAATAATAACAACACTCTCTGAACTTTAACAACAGTATGTAAGGAAAAGACAAGTCAAACTGAGACCAAGGATGCCACTCTACCTCGCCTCTCACAGATAGTCAACAAGCAAGCCTACTGCTGATTACTGGTCCCTACACCTGGATCTGCACAATTAAGTGCAGAGTATAGTATGAGCACAACAACCCAATGTACTCAATAAGTATCATAACTAACCACAGCGAGGTAAAAGAAGAACAAATTATTAAATGATGCTAGCTATCACCTGTGATGTTTCATTTTTTAAACAAGTACAGAACAACAATAGAATCAAGTCATGAAGCACAAGAAGGAACATATGTGTGTGTATGTGCAAAGTTTCTCAAATACTCTACTCCGTCAATATTCGGCATATAGACATGGTATGCAGTTCAATCAGCTAAATAATCAAGGAAATTACAAGTAAAGATGAATGCAAAATCGAAACAAAACACTAGCCAGTTTTCCTCAACCTTTCCATATCCGAACCAAACAACTGATTAGTTTTCCTCAATAATCGCATGTACACCATCAAGAGAGAAACATGAGAGGGTGACCCTAGGGGGTTGGATCCATATCCACAAGCAAGCACGACTAGTTCAACGTGCTACTATCTCGTCCTGGTCGCAAGCTCAATATCATAATCCGCCCGGCGTCGTCACATGCATAACAGTACAACCGCCCGGCGTGGTCACATGCATAACAACACAATACGCCCGGCATCATCACAGGCACAACAATACAATCCTCCCAGTGTGGTCACAAGCATAACAACACAATTCGCCCGGCGTGATCACAGGCATATAACACAATCCGCCTGACATGGTCACTGGCACAACTGTCACGCCCCCTTTTTTCCTCCTCGCGGAGAAAGTCCGGGTTTTGACATATCATGGGGGAACCGACTCCTTTCCTTTTTTGGAATTGGGTATTTGAAGAGTCGCCACCCAACGGATTATGGTGCGTTAGGGCACCTAGAGAGATTAACTCTTAGACTAGTTTGCATTACCAGAGATTTAGGGTAGGGGCTCGAAATAACCTTGAGGGGAAGGTGTTAAGCACCCCTCGCGGTCCACAACGGTGGGTCCCGGCCGAACTTAACTCATGAATTAGTCAAACAATTAGTTTTTAAACACATAATTGCAAATAAGAGTAGGTTAGATATTGTATGACTCAGATAATAGACAAAGATTTGGAACAAGTTGTATACATATAAGACAAGGTTTTAAACAGAAGGGAGTTGGGAAAGGAGGGTCCTAGGTTGGTTTGCCTACAGGATCACCCAACACAATGTCCGGTAAACACTCCTTAATGAGGGGCTACACGTGACATTAG